CAAGGTAAAAAAGTACATATTTATAAAATCTACATTGAGAACCTAACAACCTTTAAGGATTAGAAAGGGTCATACACCAAGTACTAGAAAAGGTCGTTTGCTAAGTATTCAAAGGAGTCATTCACTATCTATTCGAGATTCAAGAGGCTACTTGTCATCTATCAGGAATCTAAGAGGTCATGATAATAACCATTCATCAACCATCATAGACTCGAGAAGATTTGGTAATAACCGTTCGCCAAGAGGATATGATAATAGTATGGTTTAGTTAATATTTTTTTAAAAGAATATATTTTTACTATTAATGATATTAATTTACAGTGATCAAGGTCCTAAGTAAAGCCGTCAATATACTTACAGAAAAGGTTCGAAATATCAAGACAGCCTTTCAATCAGAACTGGAAGAGTTGTTTCGATTAACTCAATATAATTGAAAAAGAATATCAATAACTCTGGCATCAGAAGCTGGCTATTATCATGCTCTAAATGTTCTTGAAGATATGAACGAAGAGCAATATAAGAGTTTTTATATAGGTTATTGTTTTTTACTATAATTACTATTTTTTAATCATTGCATTTTTTTTAAATAAGGATGAAGTATTGCAGATTCTTAGTGGTCTTGATGATGTATTACAACTGGATCATACCAAAAGATAGACAGATATCGTTCGACATATTGCAAAACATATAATAAAGAAGATCAATAAAGTTATGAAAAGAAGATTTTAATATAAAGATATGGAGCTGAAGTGGGTTTTGCAACAGTTACATCGTCACCGTCATGAGAACTGGAAGGTTAGTCTTGATCCAGAAAAAGCCAAGTCAGAAAAGAAAAGAAAAGGAACCAATGGTGATATAAGTACTTTTATAAACTATTCTATCAAGTTAAGAATTTTATCATAACATTTATTTAATCAATATAGAAGAAAGAGTGATGTTAGAAAGAATTATCTTATATTTTCAATGTCAAAGATAGTTCACTAATCAATCTCAAACCATCCTCTTTATTTTAGGACGAATTCAAGAATAATTGTAAATTATTGATGAATGAAGGTGAGTTCCATAGTAATGAAGTATCTGAGAGTGATGATGAACTCGTCCAAAAAGAAGTTGATATAAATATCTGATCAAAAAATAAAACAATTGATAAACATGTTCTTCATATTTATGATAAACTATGAAGGTCACGTAAGTAATTAGTTATTTATTTTGCATAATCCATCGATTCAGATTGCTTTTTTTTGTTTAATAGGCTCATGATTTACTTTGTCTATTCAATAATGCTAGTGAGAAAATAAGCCATGTAAAAATTTTACGATATCATTAGTACGAAGATAACAAATAGTACGACAATTCTGAACTACCTGAAGAAGCTTCAAAATGATCAATCTCTCGATCATATGGTGACGATCATCAACTAATAATTGGTTCTAATGTTAGTATCAATGAGAGAAATGGAAATGAATAAAGGACATGTTCAAAAAAAAATTTTATAATTTGCTCATATAGATATTTTATATTGCTTGTATAGCTTATATTGTTTGTATCATAGCTTGTATAAATTTGTATAATATATATGCATAATTAAAGTATAATTTTCAGCTAAATAACAATAGATAATATTATAAATATCAAATGATAATCATATATAAATGAGGGGACTACTGGTATTAATGCTTTTATAATATTTATCTGATTGGTAATCTGATTCTTTACTGATTAAACTCAATACTTACGAAGTATAGTTTACTGATGTTATCCAGAATCTGAACAAGAATCAGCAGGGTATTAGAAATGATCATCAGGATATTATTAGTGAAGAATCAGTAGAGAATCGGGCTTGTGATCTTTCACTGGTATAACATCATTTGACGAGTGATATTATGACCGGGTGTCGATCTTGATGATCATGGATCAACAATTGTGTGGCGAAGTACAAATGTTGATAATGTCAAATATATTTAACATGTCTAACATGTTTAATATAGCTAATATGTCTAACATATCAGATATATCTAACATGGTTAATATAGTTAATATAGTTAACATAGTTAATATATTAGATATGTCAAAATATATAATAGAATAGATATAAATACAACCTCTTTTGTTCACTAGAAAGACAGAACTGATGGCTTTATAGAACTCCTCTCTTGTAAAGGATAGCGCAACGCTACTCTTCGCCTTGTGTGCCTCCATTTCTTATTTCTCTTATATCTCATTATCTTATTATTTCTTTTCATCTCAATAAAGTATTTCTTATTTCTTACCTCGTATCTGAAACTCTCCAATTTACGTTGAAAACTCGTAACTCGTGACTGAAGCCGCTCGCGTCTAATAAACTTGATTTAAACCTATAAACTGGTAGTAAATTAGCCAAAATTAGCATAAACTAATTGGAGTTATTACGTGAACTATAAAAGAGTTAACCCTCTGACACCGCATCTAATAGTTGTAATCTGAAAAGTTTGCACGTTAACAATATCATTTAATGAGTAAGTTGGACAATCAATGCATCTATAAGTCAGATGATCTGTTGTTGGTAGAATGAAGCTTTTTTTGAGGGTATCTTTCTTTAGTAACTAATACTGATGAGATGCAGTATAATTTTCAGAAGTTTGTTTTATGATAAATGTTATCTTTTTAAATGGGTAAGTTATACAAATTCTTTTAACAACTATGGTAGTGAGAGCATTAAAACCTTTAATACAAGTTGCATATGTGATAGGTCTACCAAAGATTTTCCTCAAATGATTAGGTGGTTTCTTGCAGAAGTTTAATAGAGCTTCGTCATTAAGATTACAGCCAGGACATTGAACAATTGATCTATTATTATAATCTTGAATAATGTTTACATAAGAGTTAGCTTTAATGAAGTGTTAAACGAGAATGTTATTTTGATTTTTCATTTTTCTGAAGATTCTTCTTATGATAGTCACATCCATAATGGAGTGGTGAATAGTCACAAATTCTTTTTTTAAATCATCTAAACTAATTTCTACACTAGGTCTATCTATGTAACTATTGTTTAAAATGTCTAATCTAAAAGAACTATGTACTAATCTACTATTTGAGCTATCTAAAATTTTCTTTCTACTATATAATATAGTTTAGGGGTATGAGCAGTGGGTATGTAATTATATATATTTCTTTGAGTAATTTCTCTCTAGTTTAACAAGTGAGAACCATTCATTAATATTCAAGAATTGGTTGATAAATAATAGTGAGTATTTCTGGAGCATATTACTATATTTCTTTAGTTCATTAGCATTGAATATAAGTTTTAAGGACTGTGAGCCACCTTTGATTTCGTTAGCCAGAAATTGCTTTGTAATTTTTTTTTTTTTTTTTTTTTTTTTTACAATGTGGTACTGCCAGTAACTTTATTAAATTTATATATAAGGAAATACAAAGTAAATCGAAAATAAATCTATGCTAAGTACTAGCTATCCCCTATAGTTATATTACAAACCCGTTTAAATCAACCTATCATCGTCTTTCCCCTCCATTAACTCCACTAAGTGCATACTTAATGAAAATTAAAATTAGCAAGTAAAGATAAAGAAGATGTCAGTGTCTATCTAAAAATCTGAGAACGCGTAGCCAAATTTGTTCGCAAGGTGTATCCAAGTTTCCCATTTAAAAAGGGCTTGATGTCTGTCTATGAGGTAGGGGTGAACTGGCACTTCGTTTACGCTTGTCTTGTTTAGTAATGCCCATTGAACGCTCTTTGGCAATTAATAAGTTGCAACGGTGTTTCCAGATATCATCGTATAGCTTTTGGTGGAAAAGGAGCAGCGAGCGTGAAATGATGGAGAAGCATCACTCTTTATTGCCAGATATTTTGCGAACAATATCTGTAAGGGAGGATGAAATTCTGGATTGAATGATATCTGTGTAGCCATTAGAAGCGTTTGAAGGTGATGCAAAGGTGTTGTTGAGTATATCTTGTAGTTCAGTTCAGTGTGTTGTGTATCTGGCTCTGTATGAGGAGCTTAGCTGGTCAATAAGATCATTTTTAGTAGCTGAGATCATGTCCATAATTAACGAGAAGTACGATGGATATGTTCAAATATGGAAAGTAGTTTCAGTAGCAACATTGCAACACACACATTACCAGTTCTCATATAAATCAGGTCGTAGTAATGTGAGACGTGACAGTGAAGGAAGTTCGTCGATGAAGTTTTTAATTATGAATGATTTGAGCTTACATGAAGCAAAAGATGTGAAGAGAGAGGAGGTGTTTATCGAAAGAAGGTTCCAGATGGCAAACCAATTGATAGATTTATTAACTGTAAGTACTCTGAGTTTATCATTCCTGTTCAAATCCAGAAAGTTGCCAAAAGCTTGTGTGGCAAAGAGTTGCTTGAGAAAACCTCTAATAGAGACCTCAATAGGAATATTATTAAAGCAAAATGAGAGATCTGATGAGAGGACATTATTAAGTAACAAGGATAAAGGAGGTGTATTGCATCCATCTTTAGCTAATCTGTTCGCTATTTCATTGTAATAATTTCCAGCGTGTGCTTTGATTTTATGGAGTGAAATTTGGAGGATAAGGCGATCAGTGACGTATCGGATAATATTTCAGGTCGTGCAATTGGAAACTTTTTCAAGCTTTCTCAGAGAGAGGTGGTTGGAGAGCATATATTTATTAAAACCATGAATTGTTACCTGGCTGTCTAGGTAAACGTCCACCACTGCGTTGTTTGGGAATACTATGAGGGTAGTGAGGAGAGCATACATTTCAGCTCGCGTAGAAGAGGGCCAATTTATGAGTGAGGCTTTGAAGGTAAACGGACCAATATCAGGGTGTAAGCAAATCCAACTGAATCCTATTTTACAGTTGTCCGTCTGAGGTTTTATTAGGGAGCCATCTGTGTAAAATGTTAAGGCTATTGCACCGATGAAGGTGGATTGCAAATGTATAAGCTTAGGTGAATGCATCGATGGTTGAATAAGAAGGTCAATAATGTTATCAGTGAGCGGAATTGTTGGAGAAGGATCATTATATAGTTTGTGAAAGATTGTATTGGTGATATGAGAGATTTCCCTAAATGATTATTTTGTTTGATTCTTGACTGTATGTGATTGCTTAGGAATGATCTGGACTAAGTAGGCTAAGGCATTAGGAATACTAATGATGCAATGCCCAGATGAAACAGTCTGTCTGCTGAGAGGACAACCGGAGCATTTAACAAGCTGACAAATATTATTATGGTTGATGTTGTGGGTGAAATGGTAACAGATGAGGTGGCTACTGTTTGAGATATCAGCTATAATTTTTCTGAAGGTTGGACCATTGAGCGTTGTGTCCCAGGTTGATACTATTTCTTTTGTTTGGCTACTTAAGGTAGGCGCTTGAGAAATGGTTTTGTAATATGGTAGGGGGAAGCTAGTCTGAATTCTAGTTTGATCAACCTATGTACGTGATTTTCTAAAATAATGTTGTCTAATCTATAGAAAAAATTGGATGAACTAAATCTTTTTGACTGGTGGTTAAAATCCTTAAGAAGGAAATCAGAAGTAGTAATTAAATGATGACCTGAGGAAGAAATTAGTTGATCTAGAAAATATAAGTTATGGTTAGTGAGAATCTTGTTATATTGTTTCAGTAGACTACTAGAA